CATGGAAATCACAGCAGAATGCGGGAATTTCAGCAAGGCATTCATTCCAGCGGCAAATCCCAGAAATCAGCAGTGTTCTCAGTCTGTGTTTTTGGCGGGTCATTACACTACCCCCCTCTCAAGAGCGAGGTCCCTTCGAGCAAGTAACTCATTCAGAGTCGGCACAAAAAGCATCGTAGGCGTAGATCAAAAAGAGAGACTTCGTAATACCGTAAGGAGTGAGTCTTGCAGAAAACTTAACAGTCTGTCCATCAGTGATCTGTCGTTCATAAGCGTTCACAACACGTGGAGCATTCTTTAGCAGCTCTTTCCGGTCGATCCAAAAAAACTCGTTCAACGGGTGATAGAGGAAGTGAACCTTATATTGTTTGTTCCTCCCTCTGCCTTCATGGGAAACGATTTTGTCTATCTCATGGCCGCCGTCGACAGGACGAGGTATCATAGGATCTCGGAAGGGAAAAGTTTCATCATCGATGTGTGGAAACAACTTGGATGCATGAAAGACAGGGTATGTGCGCAGATGAGGAGGCACGTCAATCACATATGAAGGACCAAATTCATCCCCAATCACCTTCAGAACCTGCCAAGGGCCATAGTACAATGGAAGAAGCTTTTGTGATACGCCCCTCTTCATAAAAAAACTCAGACATTTTGACCCAGACATAATCCCCTACTTCGAAGTTCGGTTCTTTGCGCGACTTGTTAGCATGTTTGATCATGGCATGCTGACGCTTGTTCATTGCTGCGATAGCAGTTTTGAGCAGGCGTGCGTACTTGGCATTGTAGCCAGGCATGCCGGGCGTCAGACCAAGGGACCGTTCGGGGAACAAATAGGAGAGAGGGTTGCGCATCTACCAACCATACTGCAGTTGATTCGGTGTTACGCCAGTTGCAGAGTGAATGGAGTTGTTGTACAACCCTTTCACTTTGTATAACTCCTTGTCCCACGTGTTCTGATCTGGAACAATTAACGCGCGCAGTAGTTGGATGACAGTCTGGTTGATTTCCTCAGCCAATCCATTGGCTTCAGGGTGTCGACCAGAAGTCTTGTTGAGTTTAATGTCGTAGATCTAAGAAGTGATGTCCTTTCAATCTTTACTAATGAATCTGGTGTCCCGATCACTCACAATAGTTTTCGGTTGGCCAAACTGCAGAATGTACTGCTGATGAAATTCTTCGACGACAAGCTCAGTTGGGGCATGGGGAGGGAAAGGAATCAGATTCAGAAATTTGGAAAAACGGTCCACGATGACCATGACTTGTGAATTCCCTACCTCACTCACCTTTCCCATGTCCGTGAAATCGATGGAAATCGACTCACCGGGTCCATCAGGAATGGGGAGGGGTTTCAGCAGGCCATAAGGCTTATGCCTATGGACCTTGGTCCTTTGACAAACCTGACATTCAGCAATAAATTTCTGAGCAGATCCATTCATTCCCGGCCAATCAAATTGCTGTAGAAGACTTTCATAACTCTTATCAAAGCCGAAATGTCCACTCCGACCATGTGCCAAGTCCAAGAAATGAGTCCGGAGAGGCGCATGGTTGGGTACACACAAACGATCAAACTTCCCATACCGGTGGAATACAAGACCCTCGCACTCATGAAAATCAGGCTGACTGTTAGGGTCAGTCTTGAGCAGCTCAAGGATGGGACTAAGGTCCGGATCCTTGGCGGTGTGTTCGACAAGATCCTCCTTCAGTTTCCTTCGGAGGTCATACGA